CAAAGGGAGGGATGGGGAGGCGAGGCTGGAGGTATAAACAGGGTCTGGACCACTGGAGGCCTTGTGGGCCATGCCAAGGAGTTCAGACTCCATCCTGAGAGCGATGGAAAGCCCCTGACAGATTGTAAGAAGCTAAGAGATACATCAGATTGATATTTTAGATGTGATAGCTATAGTGTAGAAAATGGGCTAGGAGTGAGGGAAGAAAACAGGAGGCAGGTTGACCAGTTCAAAGGTTGCTGGAGGAAATTACATGAAAGATGATGTTGGCCTGGACTTAAGGACTAGGTCTTAAACTTCTTTAAATCCTCAGGCTGTACCTTAGGACCTAGTCCCTAGACAGCTCCAAAAACCACAGAGAGCCCAGGACAGCAAGCAATCCCATACTTCTATCAGGTCAAGTGACAATGGGGGTTCATACCCTGAGCCCACATATTCTTTAAAACTTGGTTCCTTGGGTGCCTGGGTGGCTCAGATGGTTAAGCGTCTGCCTTTGGCTCAGGTCATGATCCCAGGGTCCTGGGATCGAGTCCCGCGTCAGGCTCCCTGCTCCTTGGGAGCCTGCTTCTCCCTCTGCCTCTCTCTCTCTCTCTCTCTCTCTCTGTCTGTCTTTCATGAATAAATAAATAAAATTTTTAAAAAAAAAAAAACTTGGTTCCTTTAGGGGCGCCTTCGTGGCTCAGTCGTTAAGCATCTGCCTTCGGCTCAGGTCATGATCCCGGGGTCCTGGGATCAAGCCCCACATCAGGCTCCCTGCTCCACAGGAAGCCTGCTTCTCCCTCTCCCACTCCCCCTGCTTGTGTTCCCTCTCTCGCTGTGTCTCTCTCTGTCAAATAAATAAAATCTTAAAAAAAAAAAGACTTTTAAATTAAAATAAATAAATAAATAAATAAAATAAAACTTGGTTCCTTTAACACCGTAAGAGGGGACTGTTTTTAATGTACTTGGACGACATGTAGGGACCCACATGGAGTACAAATACTCTAGTAAATAAAACCCATAGTTAAGGGCATGATAATAAAGAAGACAAAAACTGACTCAGCTGTTTGGGTAAAATTAGCTTCCCTGGGAATGGAGTTGCTACATAGGGAGGAAGCAGGGGAATCTAAAGTATTCCATATTCACAGGACAAAGATGGGCAAAATGCAGCATCTCTGGCCTCTCCAATGTCTATGCTAAAGGAGTGCTGGACCGTTTGAGTGACGGCCCATCCCAGATCTTCCCACAAGCTGATTGCCTCTCCACACTCTCCTGTGTGCACTCAGACCCGTTTCACATTTATTCCATGTTATTCTAGGCAGGACATGGTCAAGGAACAGAGCTGATATCTGGGACACTTGGGTGATATGAACTCAGAGGACAAAAAAATAAAAACACGTTAAGCCCGAGTAAAAAGATCGTAATCACACTACTCCAGTCAGAAGAATGTCACGAGTATTTCCTTTTCATTTTGGCCTTAAACATGCTGATAGAAATGGACTTAATGAGAGTCAGCTGGGCCTTTTCATGACTAAATTTATGGATTTTGAAGCTGAACCTGATCATCAGAACAAAATTTTACCATGTTACTTTTTGTCTGTACCTGTTTATCAAGGTTTAAGCAAAATCAAGTGGCCTTGAAAAATACACAAATCTCATATATTGCTGATGGAAGTATAAGCTGGTACAACTGTTCCAAGAACTGTGGATTTCTGGCATGTGTCTCACAAGTCTTCAAAATGTGCACACCCTTATTCTAGGGATCTATGCTAAGGAAATATTCAGAAGGTAAATAAGATTAAGAGGCAAAGATACCCATTACAGTATCATTTATAATAGCAAAATATTAGAAAGAATTATATTTTCTAACCAAACAGGAAATGGATTTTCAATTAGGATATATATAATGGAATCTTATGAAGCCATTAAAATGATGATGTAGATGTGATTTCACTGACGTGAAAATATATTGACCATATACTGCTGGTTCAATTAAGCAAATTTTCATTGAGCATCTACTACATGGAAGATCATGTCAGGCAGTAGGGACACAGCAGTGAATTCAGGTACAGTTCTTAACTGACTGACCAGGGCAATCAAATATTGAGGAAATAATGAGATAAGCACTAATACTAAAGACAAGCACAAAGTATCATAAGAATAAATAGCAAAAGAATTTAACCTAATCCAAGGGGATCATAGGAAAGCCGACCTGAGGAAGTGCTGCTTCAAGAGTAATGAAAGATGAAAAGGAGTTAGACAGGCAAAGAGGCAGTGGGGAGAACATTGCAGGGTGATGAACAGCAATTTTTTTTTAAGTATACACATTACGTCAACTGTGTATATACAAAAGGAATTTATATTAAAAATTTATTTTGGGGGCACCTGGGTGGCTCAGCTGGTTAGGCATCTGCCTTCAGCTCAGGTCATGATCTCAGGGTCCTGGGATCGAGCCCCACATCGGGCTCCCTGTTCACCAGGGGGCCTGCTTCTCCACGCCCCCACCCCCCCACTCGTGCTCTCTCAATAAATATTTTAAAAATGATTTTGTATCTGTATATATTTACAAATATAAAGTCTGAAAGGATATAAACTATAATCTTATCTATATGTTGTATTACATGTAATTTTTTATTTTTGTTTTTTGGCTTGTCTACATTTTTCCTGTTTTTTTTTTCCTGCAATGAACATATGTGAGTAGTATTTAGATGGGTAGATGGATGGGTGGGTGGAGAGACGGGCAGATGGCTGGCTGGCTGGCTGGCTAGATATAGGGAAGGATACAAGGATGGACAGTAACCAGACTCAACAGAAGATTTGAGCTGGGCATCACATTAGACTGTTTTCTTCTTGATTTTTTCCCTCCCTTCAATGACTAAACTCCAAGATCTGCTCCAGAAGTATCTTTTCTATCTGTTAACAGAATCACCTTGTTTTGGTTAGGCACTTCCACTACACCAGAGGCAAGCTCATTAGCCACAAGTGGAGCCAAAACTACAATTCCAAACAGATTTCCTCTCTCAACACTGGACCTTCCAAGCCACATAGGCAAGAGAAGAAGGACTGGCAGAGCTACTTAGTGAAGGGGCAGCTAAGTAACTATTACAAACAAAATGAATTATTTTAAAGACAGAGAGATGGAGAAAGGAGAGAGGGGAACAAAGAAATAAAAACCTTACTACTAGAGTATGAAACTATGCCAAAGAGAATGCAGCTCAAACCTTCCAGGTAGTAAAATTAGCTGGTTTTCTAAGCCACATTTTCCAGGCTACTAATTCCCAGCCCAAGGCTCACAGTGAGGTAAGAGTGTCTTGGTCTGCTTAGTAGAGGCTTAGCTCCAAGTTGAGACCAGCTCCTTCACACGATAAGCCAACAGTGAGCCCCAGGCGAGGAACTCTCAAAACACAAGTGCTAAGTCACCCCCAACTAGAACCACTTTCACCCAGGATTCAGCAAAAATTGGGTGCTTGCACTCACCCATTCTTAGCAAGCCCACATTCATTCTTTCAAACTTTATTTATTTACTTCTCCTAAACACCATGCCCTGTGGTTGGCTCTGAGGATTCAACTGTGATAAGACATGGTGCTCAAATGCTCAAAGCTCACCCAACAACTGTGGAGACATTTCATTCATTCATTTAAAAAACATCTGACTCCTACGGTGTACCAGATGCTTAGGATGTGATAGTAAACAACACCTCTGTCTTCATGGAGCTTACAGTCTAGTGAGGAGAGAAAGATAAAAAAACACATCAACAACCAACAACAAGATTTTCAGACCGGGATAAATGTTATGAAAAAATATATAGTGGGGAACTATGGCAAGGGTCGTCGGAGGAGGCCTCTCAGAGGAGACACCTGAGCAGTAAACTGCAGGATGAGGGATGCCTGGGTGGTTTAGTCTGTTAAGCATCTATCTGCCTTCGGTTCAGGTCATGCTCCCAGGGTCCTGGGTTCGAGTCCCACACTGGGCTCCTTGCTCAGAGGGGAGCCGGCTTCTCCCTCTGCCTGCCGCCCCCCCCCCCGCTTGTGCATGCCCTCTCTCTCCCTCTCTCTCTCTGACAAATAAAATCTTTTAAAAAAATTAAAAACTAAAAAAACTGCAGGATGAGAAGCAGCCAATACACCAAACGCCCGAGCACGGGCACAGCAGACCCCAGGAAACAAACAAGAACACAGAGGGATGGTGACCATGCTCAAAAGCAGCACTGGGTACTTGGCGATCGTGGGAAGGGACACCTGACCCAGTCCGAGGGTCTCACCCAGCCCAGCTGGCCCTCGGTCAGCAGTGATTTATGGCGCAGGGGAGGTACTGTGAGGTACTACAGACAGGAAGTTCCACCCACGGGTTTCAAGGAATTCAGTCTCACATGTGAACTAGTTGGACAGGGCTATTTGGCATGTACAGGAAGCAGGGACTCTCTAGAAAGTTGGCAAAGGTGCTGAAACTGAATGCCAGATGATGAAAATTCCTGTCTTACTCTCCCCTCCAAGCCCCACCATCACTTCTCCCAAATCTCTTCCATACTCCTGTAAAGGCCCAAGGAGGTTCGAAGACCTTGTCTGGTAGGAATGGCTAGGGAAGGACAAGCTAGTCCAGCATAGGGCCAGGCATCAAGAAACCAAGTTCCACTCATTTACTGTGTGACCTGGGGCAAGTCCCTTCCCTTTTCTCGGCCTTAGTGTTTCCCATCTGCAAAATGGAAGATCAGAGGCATGGGGATGAGCCCAAGAGCCTACACGTCGAAAAGCTCCCCTACACAATTATGATGTGCATGCCAAAGTCTGAGAACTAATAACCTCTGATTCTACCTCTTCTTTCCTCAGAGTGGGCAAGGGGCTGCATGCCAGGCTGGTTGCATCAAGTCCTCCATGGTGCAAAACATAGTCTCTGGCACACAGAAGCTCCTCATAGTGTCACAGCATTCTCTTTCCGCCCTCCCCTCATGCCACCACCCGAAATATCCCTCAGCGGGGCTGAGGGCCCGAAACTGTGGGTTATTGTTTGCCCCTCACCGTACCTGTGAACATTGCACAGAAGTAAGGGCTGCAGGCTGCCAGGACCACACGGTGGGCTTCTATCTCGACATCTTCCGCCACAATCATCACGTCACACAACAGCTGTTTACTGTAAAACACCAGTGAGGGGAAAGCATGGGTCACAGCACCAATGCCCACCCCCAGCCACACAAGGGTATGTTTTTCTTCCACCCAGATTCCACGCTGCCACCATACAAGGCTGTCACAGACATTTGCCATGCCGAGTTAAGGCAAGGGGGATGAACTCATCGACTTTTCCAAGTCCCTGATAAGTCGGGTATTCATGCTTTCCTAAGGCACACACAGAGATCCAACTACCCTGTAGCTGCCAATTCAGGTCTCCTTCATTTGTCTTCACATCTCTGCTCCTCAACTCCAGCAACTCTGACTGAGATGGTGAGGGGGGGAGGACAGCAGCTCAGAGAGCAAGGGGGAAAGCCTGGGGCTATGCATTGGGTGACTGGCTGAATGCCAAGGAGCATGCCACCGAGCTGTGCCACCAGTGAGAACAAGTATTAACAATCCCCCAGGGGATCCAATATCTATGAAATACTGGTAAGAGGCGAGCCAGGTCTGGAGGCCTCAAGTATTCAGCTTCCCACCCAGATTTAACATTATCACCAAGAAGGTTACTCCTGAAGACCCTGTGCAAACTCCAATCCTTGCAATTATTAAGGATCCTGTAAGTGCCTTTTTACTTGTCATCCCCACTACACTGTGCCCTCTGAAAAGGACTTGTTTACTGTTATATCCTAAACACCTGGCTGCAAGCCTAGCATATAGAAAGCCCTAAGTTTTTACTAAATAAATGAGTAAATGAATAAACTCTGAAAAGGGATCAATCCACACTCGTAGACAGAATGAATATTAGACTACTTTGAAGGATTGAAAGGGTTCCCCAAGACCATTTCAACCCAAGAATTTTTCTTCCACCAGCCTTCCAATAGTTAACATTTATTAAGTTATTTGTGCTAGGCACTGTTCTAAGCACTTTTTTATACCTAATATTTCATTTATTCCTCTCTAAAACCCCAAAAGATAGGGTTATATTATGTTCCATATTACAAAAAAGGAAACTGTGGCCCAGAGAAGTTAAGTAATTTTCTCAAGTTCATACAAAACGGGAGCAGTGGAAACAAGATTTGAATGGAGGTAGCTAAATCCCAGAACCCATGTTCCTAACATCCAAGGTAACCCGGTCACCACTAATCCCTCCTTCAGAGTGAAGCACTGGAGGTGGGAGGGAAGACAGGACAAACACACGTCAACTGCAATCCAGTGGCAGTGGTTACTTACTGCACTACACTAGGCTGAGAGGTCTGAGTCATGACTAGGTTCCATGTGAGACCAATAAGATGAATATAATGTCTGCCAGGATCAACTGATGGAATAGAAGCTACCTATTTGTCAGCCCTGGTGTCGCATATTAAACCTTTGCCAACTATTCAGACATTAGTCCAAGACTGCTTATCAGAGAAACAGAATCACAAGGCCTGAAAAGGCTGGAGCTATAAATGCCAGATGATCTATGATGTTCAGAGAGGTGGCCCAAAACCACAGAAGGCTGAGTCTTGAATCTAGTGCTGACTCTGGATATACTACCATAATGACTCATGATTGGCTGATACTCTGAAAGGGAAAACAACAGAAGATAAGTTAGCCCCAAGAGGGAAAGGTAAAAAGAATAAAGTCCCCATGAGGGGGCTTCTGGGAAGGGGGAGACCTCTGAGTGGCAAGAGGCAAAACCTGGGGATGAGACCTCACCCTACAGTGGACAGCAGGCTCTAAATATAAATTTTATCAGAATAAACCAGCTCAGCTGGGAAGAGAACTGGCTCTGCCCCTAACTGGCTATGAGAACATGGACAAACAATCTCACCACAGCATTCTCATCTTTCTTAGCGGATGTCCATTGGCCATGGGGACCAAATAAGATTGCAAATGCCATCTGAGAACAGGCTAGTTTTTTTTTATTATGTTATGTCAATCACCATACATTACATCATTAGTTTTTGATGTAGTGTTCCATGATTCATTGTTTGCGTATAACACTGGGTGTTCTGCTCCACGCAGAACGTGCCCTCTTTAATACCCATCCCCAGGCTAACCCATCCCCCCACCCCCCTCCCCTCTAGAACCCTCAGTTTGTTTCTAAGAATCCATAGTCTCTCATGGTTCGTCTTCCCCTCCAATTCCCCCCCTTCATTTTTCCCTTCCTACTATGTTCTTTTTTTAACATATAACGTATTATTTGTTTCAGAGGTACAGGTCTGTGATTCAACAGTCCTACACAATTCACAGCGCTCACCACAGCACATATTCTCCCCAGTGTCCATCACCCAGCCACCCCATCCCTCCCACCCCCCCCACCACTCCAGCAACCCTCAGTTTGTTTCCTGAGATTAAGAATTCCTCGGGGCGCCTGGGTGGCTCAGTTGGTTAAGCGACTGCCTTCGGCTCAGGTCATGATGCTGGAGTCCCGAGATCAAGTCCCACATCGGGCTCCCTGCTCGGTGGGGAGTCTGCTTCTCCCTCTGACCCTCCTCCCTCTCGTGCTCACTATCTCTCATTCTCTCTCTCTCAAATAAATAAAATCTTTAAAAAAAAAAAAAGAATTCCTCATATTAGTGAGATCATATGATACATGTCTTTCTCTGATTGACTTATTTCGCTCAGCATAATACCCTCCAGTTCCATCCACGTCGTTGCAAATGGCAAGACCTCATTCCTTTTGATGATCATAATATTCCATTGTATATATAAGTGTATATATATCCATTCATCTGTTGATGGACATCTTGGCTCTGTCCATAGTTTGGCTATGTGGACATTGCTGCTATAAACATCGGGCTGCATGTACCCCTTCAGATCACTACATTTGTATCTTTGGGGTATATACCCAGTAGTGCAATTGCTGGGTCATATGGTAGCTCTATTTTCAACTTTTTGAGGAACCTCCATACTGTTTTTCAGAGTGGCTGCACCAGCTTGCCTTCCCATCAACAGTGTAGGAGGGTTCCCCTTTCTCTGCATCCTCGCCAACATCTGTCGTTTCCTGACTTGTTAATTTCAGCCATTCTGACTGGTGTGAGGTGGTATCTCATTGAGGTTTTGATTTGGATTTCCCTGATGCCAAGCGATGTTGAATACTTTTTCATGTGTCTGTTGGCCATGTGGATTCTTCTTTGGAAAAATGTCTGCTCATGTCTTCTGCCCATTTCTTGATTGGATTATTTGTTCTTTGAGTGTTGAGTTTGATAAGTTCTTTACAGATCTGGCCAAAATTTATTATAAAAATGTATTCCCAACATTTTCACTTCACTTTCATTAAAAATTTTAAGGAAACAATGGAGTTCTCTTATCACTACTATTTAAAAGTACTAGTAACTTGTCAACTATACTTCAATTTAAAAAAAAGAACTGACCAAAATAGTACAACTTTGTTGTTGTTCTCATAATCAGTATTTTAATAAGGAAAAGTAAAACAGATGAGTCAGAAATGGTGAGCAAAAGCTGAGCCAGGTGCTAAAAAGGGAAATGTCAGAGTGGGATGTCTTGCACAAACCCAGAGGAGCTGATTGTTCATGAACAAATGGGAAAGAGACAAGAAGGAATGAGGAATAATGGTGGAGAATCCAGTTAAGCAAATGAATGAGAATGGTTCTGATGGACTGGAAGTGTATCTCAAGGCTAGAAAAACTGCAACCTAGGAAAGTGACCAAGACAAACTCGCCAGAAACTCAATGTCGGCTTTCCCTGGGAATAGTAAAGCCTGTCTGCACAAGTGAAGAGAGGACTACAAAAAAGCAAGGAATACCAACTATACCAAATACTACTGATAAGTAAGAGAAGATTAGGATGGCTAGCCAGGACAATTAAGCAAGAAAATGAAATAGAACATGAAAATGAAAAACATGCAAATTGAAAAGGAAGAAATAAAACTATCTCTACTCATAGATGACATGATCTCATATATAGAAAATCCTATAAGAAATACACCAAAAAAATTAAAACAAATGAGTTTAAGAAGGTTGCAGAATATAATATCAGTAAACAAAATCAACTGTATTTCTATAAGATGCAATGAAGAAAAAATGATATTAAGAAAAATTCCATTTACAATAGCATAAAAAGAATAAATACTTAAGAATAAACTTAACAAAATAAGTACAAAACCTATTCTCTAAAATTATTAAACACAGCTGAAAGAAATTAAAGAAGAGGGCAACCCTTTCAGGTCCCCTCCCTCTTTGGGAGCTTTGTACTATCGCTCAATAAACTTTCCTTTGCTGCCCACCACAAAAAAAGAAAGAAAGAAAGATATTAAAGAAGACCTAGATCTCCAATGCTCATGAATTGAAAGACTTAACATTGTTAAATGGCAAAACTCCCCCAAATTGTTCTACAGATTCAACACAATTTCTATCAAACTCCCAGCTGGTTCTTTGCAAAAACTGACAAGCTGAACCTAAAATGTATGTGGAAACGCAAGGGACCTGGAATGGCCAAAACAATCTTGAAAAAGAACAGAGGTGAAGGACTCATGCTTCCCAATTTTAAAACTTACCACAAAGCTAAAGACAGCGTAGTAATAATATAAGGCCAGATATATAGATAAATAGAATAGAATAGAGAATCCAGAAACAAACCCTCATATTTACAGTCAATTCATTTTTTAAAAAATTTTATCATTTATTTTTTAAATGCTTATTATTGACATAATTGACACACAATGTTGTATTAGTTTCAGGAATACAATATAGTGATTCAACAATTCTACACATTACACAATGCTCACCATGATAACTGTAGCTACCATCTATCACCATACACCTTATTATAATATTACTGACTTTATTCCCTATGCTGTACCTTCCATCTCAATGACTAATTTACTTTAGAAATGGAAGTCTGTACCTCTTAATTCCCTTTACCTATTTCGTCCATTCCCCCACTCCCCTCTCCTCTGGCAACCATCAATTTGTTCCCTGTATTTACAAGCCTGTGTCTGTTTTGAGGGGTTTTTCAATTCATGTTTTTTTTAGATTTCACATATAAGTGAAATTATATGGTATTTGGCTTTCTCTG